TTTTAAGAGATGAAGTCTTGCCATGAGCTTATTTTTTTAAAAAGTTCCTTCCCCGTATCTCAAAACCAAATTTAAAATCTCAAAACACTTTTTATTTTAAATAGGGTTTTGTTTTTTTATTTTAATTTTTATGGATTAAACATCCCATTAAGTCAAACTGGGCATTTGAACGAGTTCGGGAAAGGGAGACGTGAGAAAAGTCTAAGACAAGATTTTCTTTCGCTAAAGGATACTTGCATTTTCTTGACTGCATTTGATGAATTTTGTGTCTTCTGTGGTTGCATGGTAAAGTTTTCATCAAAGAAAGAGAAAAATACTGGTAGTCCACTTTAGTCCAGTTAGAGTACTTTTTCACTCAGCATTTCAAAGAAGAAAGAAGTTTGGTTTTGTGACACCCTTCTCCCAATTCAAGGCTTTATAACTTTTTGCTTTTAAGGGTGATCTTAGTTTTCAAGAGTCATTTGATAAATTCACAGTATGGAAAGAGTACAGAGGTTCAGAAGAACAGATGTAATTCCTAGCATAGCCCAAGTTATAGGGCTTTTACATGGCCTAATTTTAATGGTCCACCTTGCACCACACTAGGTATTAATATTGTCAGAATTATCCTTTGTTGTGTCAACACTGTGTTTTCTTAAATATTTCATCACATGCTTCCTATCTTGGGATCATTGTCTTCTTCCCTTCTACAGTGTAATTTGGGGAAAGCTTCTTTAAGACTCATGCATATTATTGATTGAAGGCATATAAATGTACTTTTAAGTATCTCCTGTGTGCATAGTATTCTACTTGATCTATAGAACACACCAGGTTGAACAAGATTTAGTTTTTCTTCTTGAAAGTGACCCTCCTGAAGCTAAATTTGGACTATTGGCTTAATAAGTACTACTGCACTTACTAAGACTAGATCCTTACCTTTCTGCCTACAAATTCATTTTCTGTCTCCATCCCTGGCATTTTTTCTCTGTAAGAGAAATTTGCCTCCACATGTCTGTATCATCTGCCTAACTCGAGCAAGTAGAAAACAGCCTTCGTACCATTTATATTCTTTATATTGTAAAATGCAAGAAGTTCTAAATTGGTCTAGATTTTTGTTAATGATTATTTTTCCCTCTTTTCTTGAGATAGATTTTCAAACCACTAGATCTATTTCTAGAAAAAAACATCTCTATCCCTGGAGAACCTAAGGAACCCTTAATGGATTCTTTCTGCAACTTGTTACATACAGCTAAGTATGGCTTCCTTTACTCGGGAGTCCTCCTCCTGTTTTCAGCACTCTCTGGCCATCCTCCCATTTTAGGATCCTCTTCTCTTCACTTCTGATTATCAGTAGGTGAAAGTTCTTTCTGTGTCTCTTCCATCTTCCCTTTTCACCTTTTCAGTTTTGCTGATCCAAATAAACTTGTAATATTCCTCAAATTGCTATTAACCCTAGGTCTTTATATCTCATGAGGACAGTATTTTATGACAGTTAATGGTTTGGATTGACTGATTCAACAATAGGTCTTTGTTAAAATCAAGTACTGCCTTTTGTCCATTCTGTGGAGGCTGAACCCTACTCTCTTATGAAGCAGGATCAGTACTCTGTAAAGAATTTCAGTCTAGGCCGGGCGCGGTGGCTCACGCCTGTAATCCTAGCTCTTGGAAGGCCGAGGCGGGCGGATTGCTCAAGGTCAGGAGTTCAAAACCAGCCTGAGCAAGAGCGAGACCCCGTCTCTACTATAAATAGAAAGAAATTAATTGGCCAACTGATATATATATAAAAAATTAGCCGGGCATGGTGGCGCATGCCTGTAGTCCCAGCTACTCGGGAGGCTGAGGCAGAAGGATTGCTCGAGCCCAGGAGTTTGAGGTTGCTGTGAGCTAGGCTGACGCCACGGCACTCACTCTAGCCTGGACAACAAAGCGAGACTCTGTCTCAAAAAAAAAAAAAAAAGAATTTCAGTCTCTCTTCTTTCCCTCCTTGTCCTTTCTTCCTTCTTTCCACTCCAGGAATACTGCAAGTTTTTTAGAAAGTCTCCAAGCCCACTATCATGAGAGTGAACCTGCAGACTTTCCACAGCCCATTCTTTCCATGCCTACGTCAGTGTTTTGCATATGGCATTTAGGAGGATTATTAAACAAAAATGAAATAGATTAAGAAATGAACATAAAAGAATCAATTCTCTTGAACTGTGGTTGCATAATGGAAATCGACTACCATGAATGAACCCGTGTACTGAAGTTATGAAGAGCAGAGCTAATGCACTGCCATGAGTTCATCTTTATTATTGCATTACACCTGAATCAATTGATAAAGTAGCTTTTTTTTTTTAAAGCGAGGGATGGCACTTAATTGAATAAAAGTCAATGTAATTATATTAGCAGAGGCCAACAGTACTGCTGACAGCGGAAAAGGGACACTGTTGAACAGAGTGCCAGAGCTGGTCTGCACATTTCTGCACATCGTTTGGTTGACAGAAATTGAGGGCTGGTACATCATCTAATTAGATTACAGATTTCTACTGCTGTAAGTGAGAAATGAAGAGAAAATCTCTTCCTGGTAACATATCGGTGGAGATGTGTAATTTCACAAGTCATCTTGGGGAAGATGTGTCCATCTGGGTGATCAGTGTGTCCTTTTGTCAATGTTAATTTATTCTTCCTTATTCAGTGTGTCTTGATGTGACTGCTGTGTGTCTGGCTGCTGTTTTCTCAGCAGTGAACCTAGGAGGTGATAACTGCAGATATGTTAGAAGCAACACAGAGTTCTAGATTACAGTCATCACAGAATGTGTACTTGTGAAATTAAGAAAGGGGAAAAGGTGTTAAAAGTAATAAATGGGTAGAATTTTGTGAGTTGCTTATAGTTGGCAGATTATTTTGTTAATAGAGTAATAGTAGATAGTGTAACTCTATTCCCACTTTCTTGTAATAACTCTGGTGGTATTATACCCACATGTCAGAGTAAAGACTTCACAGTAGGCATTTCCTGCATTCTGCTTAGCAACCTGCACTTGGAGTCATCTGCCATCTGACACCAAGGAAACAGGGAATCACTGTGACAGAGCAGGGACCGTGGGGACAACTTCTGTTTATCATTCACATACCCACACACTGCATGCATCTGCATCTGTTTAGAACTCATTTGTGGATGATGATGATGCTGTGAATTTGGTTTATCTTAATTTGATTTATGATTTTTGGATTATGCAGCTGATCTGAAAATCATCAAGACAGCGTATGGGATGATCGCTTATGACAGAAAATAATTTTGTGATCAGAACATTTTAAATCCCTATTTTATTGTTTAAGTTTTTAAAAAACCAGATGTCTAGAATGTGAATTTGTTTTCTCTCTCTCTCTCTCTCTCTTTCTCTCTCTCTTTTTCTCTCTCTCTGTCTCTCATTCTTGCTTTCTTTTGTGATCGATTTAGCAAAAGATTAGAAAGCTGATCTTATTATCACAAGGTAAGCTCAGCCTTCCTAAGTGCAGTGTGGAGAGGGCTGCTGCCCCTCTACTCTTTAAAACCCAGAGTGCTATATATTGTCTTGTGTGGAAAGGTGGAGAAGTCTTCCTCACCTTTCTTGTCTCTGAGGCACATACCTCTCAACCATCTCTAGGATATACTAGCCATGCTTGTCACCAAATGGAATGGCTCATTTTGGTCTTGCATACTTTTTAATTATAATCAGAAGGTTTGTTGGAACTTTATACCAGCCATTCAGGTCATTTCTGTTATCACAATTACTTCTTCAAGATGTAGAGCTTCCACCAGTATTGAGAAGCTTTTATTATCTGCATATTTATTGCTTTATTTTTTGAAAGGGTAAGCTTCAATTTAAGTACTTGCCAAACACATGAGCCTTTGCAGGTGGAGAGAGGTATATGCCCAAGGGCACTTTAAAAGTAAATGGGGGGTGTAAATACTAAGGCAATGTTCTCAGATAGATGGTAACGTATCAGGCTTTGTAAACTGTGATGTCCCCATGGATGCTCTGGGACAAATTCTGTCTTTTTTCACACAAGCAAAACACTCCTGAAAGTTTTGCTTGCCTAAGAAGTATGGGTTCCAGTTGTTAAAATAGGGGGAACCCTATTTTATTGTCATGCTTGATTTTTTTGTTTGTTTGTTTTTGTAGTTATTGTGTTTTAATTTTGTCCCTTTCGGGTTTTTTTGTTGTTATTTAGTGTGATTTTTTTAAAGGGTGGGTGGGCTTTATTTTAAAATTCAATTTGTTTTTCAGCTTTTGTTTTAAAGAATTAGATTGTAAAGTAGAATTACTTGATGAAAATATTTTCAACACTAAAATGCAGCAACTTCTGAAAAGCAAATGTATTTTATTATTGGATTTAACTGAGATACCTACTCATTCTGAAAAAAAAAGGGATAAAGACATATTTCAAATTGCTAATCTATTAAGTTAATTTTTTCCTACTTAAAGCTTGAAATGTAGAGGGTGGAGGGAGAAGAGTTTTCATTATGTTTTGAGGTTATACCTAAATTATCTTGACTATTTACTTTCTTTAAAAAAAATGAATTCTTTTCCTACCTCAAAATACAGTGTGTGCTGTATAAAAAATGGTGTTTTGTTGTTTTTAGGTAAATTTAGAGTTATCCATTTAGACAAGCAGAAAGTTTCCATTCTTTTATCGTATTTAATACATATTCTAAAATTTCTGCTATGAGACCCTCTGCAGCTAATGCTGCTACATAGTAAAACTAGCAGAATAGTCACTCAGAAAAAGTTGCATGGATTTGTACTCATCCTACCGTTGAGAATTTTACTCTTATAAAAATTAGGTTAATGGAAAGTTACCCTTATTGCACCTCCCACCAATACTACTCACTCCCAGATTCTGAGGATGCAGGGAAATGCTTGCTTTTAGAATGGTGTAATTAGCAATGAATGTGCTTATTTGATGCTTAGCGAAAGCTGAATCAATTTTAAAATGCTCTCCTTTTTCTCACCCCTCCCCACTCCCTGTGCACCTACCCCCCTTCCCTCTTGTTTTCCTAGACACAGTGCCAACATAAATCTGCATCGTAAATTGTTGACCAAAGAACTCGATGACATGAGCCTGGACTCATCGCAGCCCTCCCTTAGCAAGGACCTCCGGGATGAATTTTTGGTGAAGATCTATGGTGCCCAGCACCCCATGGGGCTCGACGTCAGGGAAGACGCCTCCTCTCCCGCAGGGACTGAAGACTCCCACCTAAACGGGTATGGGAGGGGCATGGCGGAGGACTACATGGTCCTTGACCTGAGCACCACCTCCAGCCTCCAGTCCAGCAGCAGCATCCATTCCTCTAGAGAATCAGACGCGGGCAGCGACGAGGGGATTCTTCTCGATGACATTGACGGGGCGAGTGACAGTGGGGAGTCGGCCCACAAGGCTGAGGCCCCTGTCCTCCCTGGCAGCCTAGGGGCTGAAGTTTCAGGATCTCTTATGTTCAGCAGCTTGTCTGGGAGCAATGGTGGGATCATGTGCAACATTTGCCACAAAATGTACAGCAACAAGGGGACCCTGAGAGTGCACTACAAAACTGTGCATTTGCGAGAAATGCACAAGTGCAAAGTCCCTGGTTGCAATATGATGTTTTCTTCTGTACGAAGCCGGAATCGGCACAGTCAGAACCCTAATCTCCACAAACACATTCCCTTCACTTCAGTAGATTAGTCTCAGAACGGACACTACAAATGCCAGCCCTCACCAGATGGCCTACTTGTTTGAACTGCCATAGTCAGTGTGCGCTTCCGTACTTTGGGGGTTTGTCTGTGTGTGTGTACATATGTATGCTCTGTCTCTACATATACACACACACACACACACACATTTTCTTGAGATAAAAAAAGATAAACACTAGGTGCTTTTGGATTTTTTTTTCACTTTTCCTTTATAGTTTTGGGGAAGGCGTGGGATCTTTAATTTGGGGGGGGGATGAAAACAGAGTACCCCTTTAAACACACATACATACACACAAAGCGTGCAGATAGCCCCAATTTTGACAGACTAATTCTTGGTCTTCCCCAAAGAGACATCTGTTGTACCCATGACTGTTGCCTGCAAAAAATAAAAGGGAAAAAAAGAAAAAAGAAACAAAAAGGAACTTCTTATAGTTGTCTTTTGTGAACTTTAAGGTTTTGGGAGAATCTTCAATTAAAGCATGGCAGATTCACCTGTAAATATTTAGCCTTGAGAGGCCATTGATGTAAAACAATTGTATTGATGGTTGTTTAACTCTTTTGTTTAATTTTTACGGTTACATCCAGCTGTTAGATATGCAGGAAAAAAATAGTTTGCTGGCTAGCTCTATTCATTTATGTTAGCATTAATGCACATTTTTTTTAAACATGGTCTTGTTTTTACTACCTGTTAGATATAGTGATAAAGAGGTGCTGGCATGCTTTACAGCACAGATCTGATTTTTTAAAATGTCCTGTACTAGTACATAAACCCAGTCATGCACTTTTTTCATACACTACAAGGGGATGTGTAATATCCATGCTTCTTTTTTTATCCTTAAACTATTGCCATACTTCAGTAAGTGTCTTTTTTAAAAAATTCACTTGTATAAAAATGGTCTGGTCAGTATAGGGCACAAATGCCAAACAAAAGTATTAGTGTTAACACAAAACTGCCAACTTTGCACAAGTTTCCAGAAAAGAAAATACAATTAGTCACTCAACATAACCACAGGCCAATTTGTTGGCCACCAGAAAACCGCTTTTAAAAGAAACACTTGGTGATTCTTTCAAGTGCCGAATGTTATTAGAATCAACGTTGCATCCTTCTTGCTTATATGTTAAGTTACATAAAAGGAAAACAAAATTATGTGGTGTGAAACAGCCAAGGCATTTATTCTTTAGAGGCAGGATAATATTTCAGGATACAAAAGCCCAAATTACTTACTATGGAACAAAGTTGAATACAGTCAAAGAGTTGAACACTCATTTCCAAGGCCCTAACTCTTACCCTTTAAAAAGAAACAAAAAGTCTGAACTGGGTTAGTCTGTCGAATGGCTGTCTAATTTGTTGCAAATTCTGCAGTAGTACTATGATTCAGGCCTGCTTGATAGACAAAATCAAAAAGACATTTAACAGCAGCAGTACTTGGAAGCTTTGAAAACATGTGCTGAACTTGAATTGAGCAACACTCCTTTCTGAAAAGCCAGAAAAAGGAAGGTTTAAAATAGGATCTCTCACTGTTTAGTGTTTTGTGTTTCCCCACACGATTTGTCAGAGAGAAATGAAAGCAAGCCTGAAACCAGCAATTGAGAGTGAGAAAGAGGGGGAGACTATTCTCCAAACCTTTTTTGTTTTGTTTTGTTTCCGATGTTTACACATGTTGCCTGAGCTGGTTAACCACATCGGCAGCCCCAGCTACCACAACATACTGACTGAATGATGATATTTGCTCAAGTTCAGTCTGCAGCCAAAACCATTAGGGTGTGCACTGCAGACTGTATTTTGTTGTCTTTTTTTTTTTTAAGTGGAGGGGAAGAAAAGATAAACAAGGAATATTTTGTCAAACGATACACAATCATTTAAAGAGAATGTATTTCTTTTCTGCATGTAATGGCCTCAAACATTTCTCTCCTCAGTCTAAAGTTAGCAGTGTCCCTTTGTTTTTAACTTTCCATGTCATTTCCATTTTCCATATGTTTTGTGATTTTTCTATGTTCACATCAGCATTCACTTCCGTTAAATTTGCCAAAGGAAACTGTTAATGTGTTTCTGTTGTTATTATTCCTGTAGGATTTATTGTACCTCACAGTATTTATTGTTTCCAAAAATAAGCATCATTAGTTGGGAGTTCAGTATTTTTATTTGTGAAAATTTCAGAAACAATAGATTCTTAAAGATAAGCTAGCTTTGTCTAGGAGCTTTATCTTTTCACCTCCTTCAGAGGATGCTATGGGGTTCATTTAATTCTTTATTTGTTCTACAGTAAGGAAAGACCAAAAGTATTTGCAGTACAAAAGAAACTAACACTATGTCTGTTAAATGACAAATGTTTACGGGAAAAAGCTGAGGAATTAGTAATAACCGTTTTTGTTTTCTTGTACCTTTGAATCCCCCAAAGTCTTAATTGCTTTATTTTGGTGTTGTGTTAAATTGAATAGACAGAGATGTTTTCCTTTGTTTTATACCATATAAGACTCTGTACAGTATGTTTGTGAAAGATTGAACTAGAATAATGAAAGTTTGTTTGCAAACATTTTGGTCCTCCTAGCGTTCTCTGTATCGCGCTATTGCCCCATTACCAAATAATTAGATTCAAAAAGGGTGGAAAACTATGTTTAGTATCCCAACAAAAGATTATGGAAACGCTGGCTTTCAGAGTGTGCATAGACTACATTACCCCTAGTTTTTTAAAAATACATACACATTTTTATTTCAGCAACTTTAAAAAGTTACACTTGGTTAAGATATTCTAGAACTCATCTTGTACAAAATCAATGTTTAGTCTGTTTAATTTAATGTCAAGGAAAAGGTCAGGTGGCCCTAGTGAGTGAATTACATAGCTGTCAGCAGGTCACATCAGCAAATGAACCAGGCTTAGAACAAATGTTTGTTACTTGCCACAAACCAGGCTAAGGTGTATAGCCAGTTAGCAAAAGACCAGAAGTAATGAGATTCTAGAAGGAGAATGTCCCTTGCTTGGAAACATGAATGTGTTCCCCTGTGCTTTGTCAGAGAAACGGCAGTAAGTCCTGGACAGCTGGCACTTTTTAAGTATCTCCTCTATATGCTACTATTGTGCCGCAAGTGCCCGATTGTGACGGGGGCCTTCTGAATGAGTAAATAACATTCTCCAGTATAAAGCCTATTGCTTAAAGGGGGCAGAGGGGGCGGATGGATGTAGTGCATAAAATGTAAAACCATAAAATGTACAATTCTTCTATTCCCAAAGCATTGCTAGTTCTTGAGTATGTGCCTGAGTGTAGTGTTTCGACATAACTACAATTCTAGTTAAGATGGTGATCCCAAGGCTTATTTGCAAACAGGAAGGATAAAGACATCAGCATTTTAATCATGGAGCTCTTCATCTTTGTCCATTTCTACTCATTTATTTTTTCATTGTTAAAATCATTTCTCTCTGGCTGCATCCATTTTACGCTGGCTGAAAATTAAGAGCGATACAGATTTTCATCCAACAAGTTTTCCCCTATGATTGATTTTAGCCAGAGTGTTATCACAGGTACAAATTTAGGTGGTATTATTGTGCATGTTTCTAGCTGGTGTAGAAACTTAACTGTTTTGATCATTTTAAACTATGTTTTTGTAAATATAAGAAAGGCTGAGTTTGCTTTCGGGAATATCTGCATGCTATGGAGGGGGAAGAAAGCAAGAACATGAATAGGTAATAAGTAATTTGGTTTAAAAAATGTGATTAAAAGCTTAACATTCTTTATTCTGCTATTAATTGTATTTAAATAAGTCAACCCATTCCAGATCTTAGTCTGGCTGCCCTGTTCAGCCTGATGCCTTTTAAAGATTTAGAGGTATTACTGTTTTCCTTTTTAACGTGACAAACTTTTTAAAAAAATATTTTTAGCCCAATGGTGCCACTTTTTAAAGTGTTGTTTCTTTGATCATGAATTTCCAGGCCCTTCCAGTGAGAAGAGAAAGGCACTTAACTGGTTAACAGCCCTATTAGTATACATTGCTCCAAGGGAAAAAAAAAAAAAAGCTTTGAATATATCAAGAATGGCCTGTTCTGGAAGCATTCTCATTTTACTCAGGAGAAACTATGCACTAGGTTCCCATCAAATAAAATGTGACCTTTTCTTTGTCTGTCTCTGTACACACCCCAGATGTGTGCCAAGCAAATGAGAATGGGGGCCTTTGGCAATTAAAACATAAAGAAGCTAGTAACCAGATTGAGATGGACATGTTGCTAGCTGTTAACAGCTTGACCTGAGCAGTCCTAACTTGTTATCTGGTCTGTTAGCATTGGGTTAGGTTGACTAACAGAGTAAATAAAATTCAACTCTCAAAAGACACACAACACCTGCTATCATAAAGAAACAATTCATTTAGAAGTAACTTTCATTCTGTGCCTACACCCCTTTCTTAAGAGCTTCTTTTTTAAATTATGACACATTTTCATTTTTTAAAAAATCACTATCTTTCCCAAAAACTTGAAATATTTAAATTAGGAGTTTTGCCTTTTCCCTCTTAGATCTTAAGGTATCTAAATGAATAAGGAGGGTAATAAAAGGCAGGTACCAAAAAGACTGGCAGGATCACAGTTTTTCCATAAGAAGACTAAACGACACTACATAGAGGGTTGGTTCCTGCCCTGGTTTGGGGGTAGCTAGAAAAGAAAATAGTTAATGCACTGGAAGTGCCTGGTTTGAGGGTAGCTAGAAAAGGAAATAGTTAATGCACTGGAAGTGTTTGTTGAAGAGAAAAGTTTGGCACAGCTCTACCTAGCAGTGGGTGAGAGCGCAGGGATGTAGTGACCTGTAGAGTTCCCCATAATCAGGTGAGTTGCCGAACATGCCTAAGGAAGGGGTTAGGAAAGTAGGACAGCTGCATGGAATACCTGATCTTGGTTAGGGTCAGGGAAACCCACAAGGACAGCTGTGGGTTTTAGGTTTGCCTTTGTTTTGGTTTCGAATGGGAAGTGATGCTGGAGTCCCTTGGAGAGCAAAAAGATACCGGGGGTCGCCTAGCTAGAAAAGGCTGGTGGTGAAACCTAGTGCTAACCATTATGAGTGGAGCAGTAGATGAGAGTGGTACCTAGCATGGACCTGTCCCTTTCTCCATCATTACTCTTGCTTGCCACTGCAGCAACACAACAAGCTTGTGATTGTGATGCTACTTGGCTAAAGCTCTCTTGATCAAAATGGGAGCTCGTTACCTGTTCTGTGAGGCATATAAGTAACAGAATTCTACTTTCGTGTTGTCCCTCAGAGATGAGCCATGTGTGGGAGTCTTGCTCATGTTAGTACTAAGACCATATTTGATTTATCCTACACTCATTTCCATATTTCCCATAGTAGGAGAGTTACCATAAATGGTAATTTTCAAAGTGTTATGTAAATCCATCTGCAAAATCAACCAGTGAATTATCTATCATCACTGTTGCCCACCCACCCGTCCTTCCCTGTGTCCTTTTGTCATCCTCACTGTTCCTACACCTTGCACAAAATCATTTTTATGGTCTTTGGCAATAACTAGACATTGAATACTGTCGTTTTGGCATTTGTTGGAAATCCAAATGCCTAATAACAGAGGGTTAAAAAATAAGCATTTTTATAAGTATGCTGAATTGGATCAGCATTATTGTTCATTATAATGCTGTATATATTTTTGAAGCAACATACTATAGTTGTCATAAAACTATCTTTATTCTTCTCCTCTAAAGTGTTGTTGTAAATTCATTTGACCTTTACTGCAGGGGGAAAAAAATCTTTTTTATATAGGGTATCAAGACAAGGCTCAGTTTGTAACAAATAGTGGACCATTACAAAAGAGGAAAGGAAAAAGCCAGGGCTGAGCAGCGAGAAGCTTCAGTTCAATTTCACCTCATATCTTTCTAATAACTTACTTGTCACTTTATTACCTTCCAGTAATGTGAACGCTGCTGACAAGACTGTCACACTAACAGCAGACAACACCCTCTCTGCTTCAGCCCCAGCTCTCCTGGCTACTTATTGCCCTGGCCCTGAAGGGACACAAACTAATAGTGTGCTTTCCAGTTCAGCACTTGGCCATCAAATATAAAAGGATGCGTAATTGCCTGTTTATCCCTTGTGAAGGGGAAATTGAGTACAAGAGCCAGGCGTTCCCACCAAGTTCCCTGATGTACACACACATTCACAATCAGTGTGTGTGTGTGTGTGTCCCTCTCTCTCCTCTCCCCCTCCCCTCCCTCTCCCTTCTCTCTTTTTCCTCTCTCCCCTCCCAAAACACAAGCACATACACACACCTGCTGTGTCTTTGGAAAGCTGCCTCTCAGTGCCCTCTCCAGCTATTAAGTGGACAGCAACAAGATGACTTCTTAAATAAAGGGTCAATAGAGAGAGGCTGTCACAGACAGCATTATTTGCTTCTTTGAAAACTTAGGCATTGCAATTCCATACCAATCTATTTTGGAAGAAATGGGTGTGGCTCTATAATTTGAGCAAATTTTCCTGCAAGTCAGTAGCATAAGTAGCATTAGATTGCCCCATTTTCTGTAAGGAAAATATTAAGGTAGTTTTCTTCCCCTTCAAAAAGTGCACATGATATAAACAAATTGGTTGTGCATGGTGGTAAAAATGTTTTTTTTTAAACTTTGCATCAAACCATTGATCTAAGTGTACACATGTATCTTTCAGTGACAGCCTCCACATCCATCATATAGCATGACAGATTAACCTTCATTTTGTCAAACTGGACTGACAAATCTAAAAAAGAAAAAAGACACTACTAGCCTTTTGACTTTAATCATTAAAGCAAGGACTTCCTTAAATGTAAAAGGTAAATTATCCACTTGGAGAATTTTGGTATGTGTGAGTACAGTGAGCTTTATAAAATCGAGTGACAAGGGGACCAAAGGTATAAAGGAAGAATATGTGAAAGTGTTATATTCCAAAATATCTTGAGCTCAAATCATGTGTCAGTATTAGCTGCTATTTTTGCATATCGAACTACTACAATAATGGTGGGAAAAGTGACTAAATAAAAGACAAGAGCACAGGGGTGTCTTCCTTATGGAACTCAGCGATACCATTCTTCCATCCACCCTTGCAGCAGCAGATCTGACAGAAGATAGTTGACCCCCATTATGAACATTGAATACCTTATTTCAAACAAGGTATTAGTCAACCAAATAAGACACATGCAGGTGTTGTCTTTGATGTGAACTTGTGCGAGGAGAGAAAAGCAGCAGATTTAGAGACAGACAAGGTAGCAGGTCTACTACGTTGACAAACCTGTACTTAATAGTTTTGTGAGCCAGTCTGAAGACTGGGAAGAAAAGCACTTTGAGCAAGGACTCTTGGGTCAAAGAAAAGGCAGTTAGTTGACTTGATGTTTTTTAAGTTCCCCAGTATGTATATACTACAATCATTTGTCAAACATCTTAATAGAATCTTAAATTAATTAAAAACTCAAGTTGCCAAAATTGCACAAATTCTGCTAGCCAATATTAGCTTTCTCCCCTTAACTCTAAACAGGGATGCTTAAGGACATTTCTAATATTTTTTAGTGCTTTATTTAGCTCCTTTTTTGTTTTAAAGAATTTTTGAAGGGAAGGAAGAGCAGAAAAGGGTATTTTAGGAAAAAATGGAGAGAAGTAGATAGTATAAAAATATATTTCTTGAAGAGAGAGAGAGAGTATCTAAGTGCTATAACAAGACTTTATAAGGCTTCCTGTTGCCAAATGTGATGTTGAGATAATGCACAGCTAAGATGGCAAATCCATCAATTATTAACTGGCTCTGCCCACTTCTGTTACGGAATGCAAGGATTGAGAGGTGACTCTGGGGAGCCCCTGGATGTGTGGGAGAACTCTCCACTCATCTGGCCCTGGAAATGTTTTCCAAAAGAGGGGGAGAAAGCTCCAGCCCTCTTGGTCGTCCCCCTGCAAGGTGAACTGACTGGGCACTGTTCAGCGGGAGCCTCACTGCCTGCCTTTTCCATGCCAGGAGACAAAGCATCCCCCACCCAACATGGGAATCAGTGCGGTAGCCGTGAGAAGCACTGATTCATGAGGTATGATGCTCTTGAACTCCCAGACAATGTGCTGAGTGAATAGGTTCACTTGAGATGTATAAACCAAGGCTGATTGTTTATGTTTTTTTTAATCTAGTACTCAATTTGGAGCAGTTTTGCATGTCTTTGTACAGAGTAATCCATTCCTCTCATTGCCTATCTTAATCTCCCCTGACTTTTCCATTATCTTTCTCATT